TAGATATCAGGAAGAAATTCTTTCCAGAGAGGGTAATTAGGCACTGGAATGGGCTGCCCAGGGAGGTGGTAGATTCTCCATCCCTGGAGGTTTTCAATATGATGGATGTGGCACTTAGTGTCATGGTCTAGTAACCATGGTGGTAGTGGTTCAAGGGTTGGACTTGATGATCTCAGAGGTCCCTTCCAACCTGGCTGATTCTGTGATTCTATGATTCTATGTAAAATCTTTGGATTTCTTTCTTGGAAAGAGCCTTTGAATAGCTAAGGCTTATGAAGACTAGTTGAACATCACAAAGCAGTTAGAATTAGCAGTATGGGCTCTCTGTTAACTTCATTCTCTGAAATACCTAGATTTTTCAGAGTTTTTACCAGAAGTTTTAGTTTAGAAATTTAGTTTAGTTTAGACAAATCAGGAGAAGACAAATAAATTTCAACCAGAGGAAATGGAAATGTGAGCAAGGTGAATAAAACATAAATATTTTGCCATTTCACAATTTGTGGTTTTAACACACCATGAAAGCTGGTGAACTTACAATACCAAGTGTTAACTGCTGTCTCTGTGGAGAAAATAGGATCTCTCCTATTTTCGACAAATGCTTCCCAAAATTTTCAGTTCTTGTCTCCTTCCCATCTGTCTCAGAATGTTGTTAAAATTCCTCAGCCAAACTTGTGGAACCTCTTCAGAGCTAAGACAAACTGTTGATAAACTGCTTTCCTACTTTCCAGAACACTCTCTTCAGGGTTTTGGGAGCTGAGGGAACTCAACATTATGCTGTAGATGCTGTTTCTTGATGCTTATGAAACCTTTTTTGCCAAGTGAGAGAATCCAAGTCCATCCTTTGGTCTTAAGGAAAGTCCTTCCTGCTTTTCTTATTCCCTAGTGTAGCAGCTTCTGGCTGCATTCTGGGTGAGATAACAGAAAAGGAGGAGATAATTATGTTCTTTTTAAAAACTAGCAATACCACTGTAAAATTCTGTGTAAAAATGGCTCTCAACTGTGTTTACCTGTATTGCTTTGTTGAACTGTTCCTTTATTGTATGTAATAAAGAGTAACAAACATTCTACAGGTTCAAATTAAACTGTGCTACAACTGTTATTTTTAACTAAGAAACTAAGAAACATACATCCCTGTTTTAATGTGCCTAAAGGAGATAAACTTCATAACTTTCCTTCCTATTTTAGTCATCTGAAATGACTGAAGTGAAGATCTTAACTCAAACTGTGATGCTCTGTCAACCAAAACAACATGAATCAGGAGCAAAAAAAGGTAAAATACTGTATGGAGAGCTGTGCCAGGATTGCATTTTCTGGATGAGAGACACCTGAAATATGAAGTGATGTGGGTTGCATTTTATTTTTTCTAATTAGCCAGTGCATTGGTAGTTTGGCTCTCTTCTGTACCACAGTTGGAGAGTAATATGAAACCTTTCTGGTTTTAACATAACACTCTAAAGAAGGTGTAAAATTTGATCATAACTGAGGTGGGAAACTTCCACTGGTAGACTTGCTTGCATGTAAGAGTGTAACTGTCTTTAAAAAAACCCAAACAAACCCAAGAAAGCAAACAAAAAACAAATGCAAGAGAAAACAGACCTCAGCCATAAAAAAATACTTTACACAAAATCCTAGTTTTGTGTAAATTGCTTGTGTGTGTAGAAGTACAGATTTGAGTTGCATCCTTTAGCCTGTTACAGGGGTCAGTCATGGCATACAGACTATTGCATGTAATCAATTAAAAACTCAGTTTTTTGGCTTACTTGTCCTACTCTTACTACAGTGGTTCTGAAAGACTAATATTTATATCATAAAAAATGAATTAATTTCTCTAATGATGAGTCCTGGGCAGGTGATTCTTGTGTCAGTACTGTCCTTAAGGTTTGCTCCTTATGCTTTTCTCTTTGTACTGCCTGTCAGTACAGGTGGAGCATTGGTAGTAGCCAAAATTTTACTCTTTTTTTTTCATTAAGCAATAATCTCAGATTTCAGATGAATTCTCACAATACTTCTCTGCCCTACTTCCTACCTAATCCTTCATTGTTAAACATGTCACAGGAACTGCATGAGTGATCCAGCTCAGGTCATTGGTTCATTGAGACAACTTCTTTTGTCTGTATCTTCCTGTATTTAATCATCCTAGATCTCCATCTGTAATCTCCAGTCTTTAAGTAATCTCTGAAGACTTGGGTTGTTCTGTTACTCTTAGAACTCAAGAACTGAAAGAATTCTATTACGTTTTATTGAGCCTTTCCTATTTTTCTCAGTCTGAGAGAGGTTGCCATCTCTCAGGTTCTTGAGCAGTAATTCTACTCTGTTGTGTGTTACTGACTTGAAAGTAAGTCCATTCAAGCTCAGATAAGTCCTTTCAAGCTCAGGTTCATTTCTTCTATTCTTAATCTTGTAGATCTGTTATAGAAATCTAATAGATTTCTATTCTTTGGATCTAGTTGGATGTCAGTTGGATGTCAAGTTCTGTCTTTTTGGTGGTGGTGTTCTGATCCCTTTCTCATCAATTCTGCTTGTGGTTGTAGAGACTATTGTGCTCTACAAGATCTTAAACAGCTTCTCATCGGATCCTGGTCTCTTGTATAAAAGTCATCATTTTGGATGTTGTTCTGTGGTTAATTGCTCTTAGATGCCTCCCTTGAGTCTACTACACAATTTTCCACAAGTGTTTTCTCACACTTATTTTCAAAGGGCTTTTGTTTGCTGATTGTTGTAATCCTTTCCTTCAGAGTAACACAACTTTAGAGGTTCTGCTGTTCAGCTGCTGCCTACAAATAAGTCTTTTGTTTTCTTCTTTTTTTCCCCTCACTGTAAAATTTCTTCTGGAACTCCTTTTATCTTCAGCTGTACTTTAAGTTCTAGATAATAATTTCCATTTGATATCTGTTCAGTGGTACTCTGCTTCCAGTTATCTGTCTCTGCAGTTGTTAAATGCAGCATAAGGTTCCCATGGGCCCACTTCTTGAGTTTTTCCACGTCCTTCTGGATGGCATCCTCTCCTTCAGGTGTGTCAAATGCACCACTCAGCTTGGTGTTATCTGCGAATTTGCTGAGGGTGCACGTGATCCCACTGGTTGTGATTGATAAAGATATTAAACAGTATTGGTCCAAATATGGAACCCTGAGGTACACCACTCATCGCTCACTGATCTCCATCTGGACATTTAATTAGATACTCTTTGGATCATAGAATGGTTTAGATTGTAAGGGACGTTAAAAGTCATCTAGTTTCTACCCCCTTTCCATGGGTGGGGGGGCACCTTCTACTAGACCAGGTTACTTAAAGCCCCATCCAGCCTGGCCTTGAACACTCCCAGGTGTGGGGCATCCACGTCTTCCCTGGGTAACCTTTTCCAGTGCCTCACAAGGAAGAATTTCTTCCTCATATCTAATCTAAACCTACTGTCCTTCATCTTAAGGCTATTCCCAATTGTTCTATCACTACATGCCTGTGAAAAGTCCCTCTCCAGCCTTTTTGTAAGCCCCTTTTGGGTACTGGAAGACTGCTGTAAGGTCTCCTCAGAGCCTTCTCTTCTCCAGGCTGAACAACCCCAACTCTCTCAGTCTGTCTTCACAGGAGAGGTGTTCCAGCCCTGTGGTCAACTTAATGGCTCTCCTTTGGACTCACTCCAACATGTGATTGGATGCAACTGTCAAACCAATTCCTCATCCAGCAAACAGTCCACCCATCTAATCTATTCCTTCTGATTTAGAGAGAAGGATGTTGTGGGGGACTGTCTCAAAGGCCTTATAGAAGTCCTAGGTTTTTAATCAAGGGAGGGAAAAAAACAAGCTATAAGTTTTCAAGTATTCTTGTATTCTTTAAACTGTTCTTTTTAAAGTTACCCACATGCTCTCCCATAGGTTCAGCAGTTATTGCAATCACCTGTGGTCAAAGGCAGAAAAAAATCCCAGTCATAGTTGACTTTGTCACCTTGTCTTTTGTCAGCATCCTACAGTCTGAGAAACAAAACTGTAGTCCATCAGGTGACTGTGTAACAGTCTTGCAGGCAGCCCATGATTCCTAAAGGAATAAACTTCTTTGTCACTAAGGACCAGAGATAAAACTTGTCCCTTCTTTTCCTAATTCCTTTCCTCTTGTTTCTAGTCTTGCTTGAGAATATCAGCTTAAAATCTGGACACAGCTAGACATGTTATATCCGACACTGTGCTGGAGTAGAGACACTGCTGTGAACTCGAACAATAACCTGCATGCTCTAAGCAAAACCCCTACTCTTGTTGATTTGCTGTAATACCCTTAAAGCTATTTCACTGGTTTTAAACTGTTTGCCAGTTTACATGCAGCACATCTCACCATTACTTTTTGGTGTTAAAAGACATCCGGCTTAATAGCTCCAAGAAAAGAGACACTTTATTTCTGTTATGTCTCCCTTAGAAATATGTACCACTTTGGTGTGAGTTAACAGATTCTTCTAGGATTTCAAGACCAGTTTGTGGTGTTTCTGTTAACTAGAGCAAGATACAGGGAGTCTGTCTCTAGTGTAAGGTTGGATTCACCTTTTTTTTCTTCTTTTGTGTTAATTTACTGGTGAAATGCTCTGTAGTTTACTACAAATTGTCCTTATGCAAGATAAGATTAAAATGACTCCTGATTTTAATACTGATTTTTATATTTCACATGCAACATTTCCACCCTTCTAGAAGTAACCAAATAATTTTTCTGAATTTCCAATGTTAATGCCTTAAACAACAATGTTGAATTTAGTGCCTTTGTATATTCACAGAAAGGATCCAATACAGCAGAGATTTCCTTCTGAAGCTTTCAAGTGTTTCTCTCTCTCAGAAGAAGCCAGAGTTTCTTCCTGATCATCCAGTTGTACTTGAGAAGCCAGTAAGTGCATTTTTTTTGCATTAAGTGAAGTTATAAAATCATTCATGGAGGTTTTGACAACCCATTTGACAGGAAACATTTTCCCTCAGACTAGCCTGCCAAGTTGGTAAAACCTTCAAAAGACAGATTGTGCAGTTCAGCTCTGTTACTTTTGTATGTAACTCCCCCAGTTGGTATTTGACATCTTACTGGGGTAAGTACCATATAAAGAGAAAGGGTTTTTTGTTTTCAGGAAAAAGATCAGGTATGTTTCCATATGTTCAAAATAAAAGAGAACAATCTTGATAAATTTCCAGCTTGGTGAAAGTCTGAATCCAGTGTTTAAGTTGTCCATGCATCAATGTACACTACAAAACTATTAATGAGCTTAATGCAATTTGCATTATCAATATATCTGGTCTATGGTTTTGGGGAGAAATCAATAGAAATGAATGATGAATGTGAAGGATATCCAGGTGTGCTACCTTAACCTCTGTGATGAAATAATCCTCAAATATTTTGTATCCTAGGAGAAAAAAATCTACTGGTTTGCATTCCACAACTTAAGTTTGGGAAAATCTTCAGGGTAAATATTATCGTGTCAAAATAGGCTACATACTAGGCTGCTTTTGAGGCTATTGGGATGTAGTTCTGCTAGAAATAGGTTCCTATTATGGAGAAATATGTCCAGATGATTACTGTGTTGGCCCCATTTAGAGGTATTTTTAAACTTTTAAAATTTCTACCCTTTTAAAAAACAAAGTTAAACTAATATATGACTATAATTGGCTTTTACTGATCTTACTTTTTATGTCTTTCTATTTGTCCTCAGGATGAAAGCTTTATTTGTTTGAAAACCTGCCTTCAGATAGGGAAATTTCTGCTCTTGAATTTCCTTACTTTCCCTTGCCCTGTCACCTGAGTTTCTAAGGGGGGCAAATGTCTATAATCTATACACTTTCACATGGTTACATTCATAGGAGAAAGGAGGACCCCAGCAGCAATTAAATCAGTGATCGAATTAACTCTAAAATTTCTCATGACATGACCAAATGGCAAATAATTGGGTAGAGGGAAAGAAGGATAGTAAAAACTCGTAGGAGCCAAGATGGATTGCATGTGTTTTGAGAGACTGTTTTGGAGGCTGGAGGATGTTCACCTGTAGCATGATGACATAAATGTATCCAGTTCTATATATATAGTCTTGTCTTTAGAAATAAGGCTATCTCATGGTTTGTGAGGCCTGCTGTTAAAGTCTTTCCTCTGCTTTATGTTAGTCATATGTTTGTAAGCCCCCACCTGCACAGGCTAGTTTGTCATACAGATACAAAAAGCAGTGAGATTTTTGATTCTATTCAGCTTCAAAAGGAGATGGGCAGACTACAAACCCTTGTTAGTCAGGATATTGTGTTAGAGTAAGGTCAAGTGTATCACTTAGCTATTGTTATTGGTGTCTTAAGCGCAAAGTGTGGGTGGTTGTGTAGGAAACTAAAGGAAAACAATCTCATTAAACAAAAGCAAAAACTTTCAGTTGATCTTAAGGAGTGTTGAAAAGAATATTGCAAGTATACTGGTCTCGTCAGTATATGAAGGTGATATTAGGTTACCAGTCATGCTTCAGAAGTTAGTTCCATATTTTGGTTGGTGACAGTCTGTTTTTCTTTTTTTTTCCTGAATTGACTAGAATAAATATTTTGTTGTTAATATAGGATAAAACTATCCACTGGTGTATTCTAGTGTTGAATGCTAGTATAGACATTGAACTTTTAGGAATTTGGGAGTTTTTTTGGAGGTATAGTAACACAAATGAAACACTTAAGCTCTGTGAATGTGGACCTTCTTAAGATGTACTTTGTATGTCTGTGTTCACTAAGCAATTTCCTCATTGGGAAGGAAGGCAAAAAAATTACTATTGCTTCCAATAGCATGGTAAGGTCTCAGTTACAGTATACAAACCTTGTTAGAATTTCTGAAATGTACTGAAATAAAAATTTTGCTTGTGGGACACATGAACCCTACCCAGTAGTCACTTTTTTATTAAGATTGAAGCAGTTGGAGACACTAAGTTTTTCTCTATGGGAATCCAAATACAAGAATCTGTGACTAGAGTAAAAGCTGAATCTTACCTTGGAACAGCTTAAACTTGACTTGGCCTGATGACTGATAGATCTTACTTTCAGGTCTTGTATATTGGTGTGAAAAGACACGTGTTGAATTTCAAGAATGAGGAGTGATAAAACAGATGTTAGAATAAGAAGGGAAAATGCAATAGCGTGAGAAGGCACCTGGAACCAAAGAAAAAAATGAAGATAAGTTCAGAACTAATTTATCCAGAAATGACAGTGATTTCAGGCTCCTAGTGCAGCACAGGGTCATCAGCATGGCATGTTAAATTGCCTGCTTTGTGTGACACCTTGCTTATCAAGACTACATGTCAGAGTTGGAGCATTCCACATGGAAGTAGAGAACAGATTGATTAATGGTGGAGAGCCTATAGGACAAGTACAAACAGCTTTAGTTTTGATGTGAAGTGTTTTCTGGGTGCTGTTTCTTTCTCATCTGTTTAGTTATGAGATGGAATTATAATCTACAGCCTTGGTTTTTTCTTTCATAAGCATGTTTTTGGTAGCTTTTAATGAATTTTCCTGGAATTGTTTGGTTTGGAAAGGACCTCTTAAGATCAGCTAATTCAACCCCTCTGCTCAAGTAGGGTCAACTAGAACAGGCTGCCCAGGATTGTGTTCAATCAGATTTCAGATATATCCATAGGCAGAGACTTCACAATCACTCTGTGGAGAGATTGCACAACGTGTTGCAGTGCTTGGTTACCCTCACAGTGAAAAAAGAATTCTTTTGGGGAGGCTGTGAAAAATGTGTCTCTTTCATTAGATCTTACTGGATGTTTCCACTAGTTAAGAAGAAAACACTAGATAAAAATCTTCTTCATAGCCTCTGTAGTTTCTAGAAAGGTGTAGTTTCTAGATACAGATTAATTTTAACATCCTGTAGAAGGACTTACATGGTAGTGAGAAATTAATTGAATGTTGCTTTTCTGAGATCTCTACAGTAAGTGGATTTCTGTGCAGTTCTACTTGTGGCATCCTGTTAGCAAGACAGTACTCTTTAATAGAGCAGTACCAGAAATGGCAGTAGAACATTTGTATCTTGATGATATAATTGTTCAGGTCTTGTTTTCAATGGAGTGTGCAAAACCATTAAATTTACTTTTCTGAACAGTTGGTGATCTTCACTTGTTCCATTATCCATCCTATTTCCTCTACACTTTGGTTTTCTTCATGCAGCAGAAATAAGACCCTGTGAAATTTTAGAAAATGCCTGTTTCTTCCTGTCATTGCCCAAGTGCTTTAAGAGACAAACCTTTAATTTGAAATGCCTGAGATGGTAATATGATTACAGTGAAAATAAATAATTTTACATATTGCTGTGGCAGCATTTTGTCCTTGAATTGTTTGTGTTTTGTAGCCATTGGTTTTCTTCATTCAGCAGATTCTGTGTGAGAAAATACCAGTGTGTTGACTGATCCCATGTCATCCATTTTTCTACAAAGCAGAGGGATTGATGAGATGCATGTGTAAATTAAGTGAGCGATGCCTAAAAGTGGCAGAAGGTGGCCTCCAGATAAATTTCTGATGACAAACAGGCAATCCTACAATATGTCAGTGACATTGTATTTTGGACCCGGTGGTTGTCAACAGTTTGCCACTGAATTAAGTATTCAGGCAGTTCATGCCTCTCTTAAGACTTTCCTCATTCTGAATTTTTGCAGTCGCTGCTGAAGTATATGCCCATTTATGACTGAAAGTTGTATTTTCAGATGAAGAAAACATCGGTAAAGTGACTTGTACAAGGGAAATGCTGTTGTTACAGTCAGTGGACTGTGGACTGCGTTTGTCCCAAAGGACAGTGACTTTTTTTGTGATATAGGGCTCAGGGTTACCTATACATAGCTCAGCGTTTGAACAGATTTTACTGTATTGACAAAGTCTTCTAGGAAAATTTTAGATTAAGTCTCTATGATTAGTGAAAAGAGAACTGTTTGCTATTAAAAAAAAATCAAATTGTTAAATGTACATGGAATAGGAAAGAGTTATAAGTGGATCCAAATGAAAACTTTGTTTAAATGACCTGTTATAACTGAAGTAATTTGAGAGTTGGTTTGTCTTACAGGTAAAGAACAAACCTTTTATTGACATATGCAAGAAGTGACATGTTGTTTGGAAGATCAGAAATCCATCAATGAAGGAGCTACATATGATGTAGGTCTTCACAATTTTTGAAGGTATTTGGGTGCCTGCAGATGGAAATAGGACCCTGTGAAATTTTAGAAAATGCCTGTTTCTTCCTGTCATTGCCCAAATGCTTTAAGAGACAAACCTTTAATTTGTAATACCTGAGATGGTAATATGATTACAGTGAAAATAAATAATTTTGCATATTGCTGTGGCAGAATTTTGTCCTTGAATTGTTTGTGTTATGTAGCCATATATTTTGCCTGACCATAAACTTTAAACCAATACTTGACCAGGACTTTTTGCTTGCTCCCAACTGCCTTCCTAAGAAATAATGATGGAACAACAAATACTGGCTGTGTCATATCTCAGATGTCTTAGGGTATGTACTCTAGTTTGTTGGGGGTTTTTTGACAAAACTTCACTTGTTTTCTTTCTTAATTTGAAATCTTCATTTTGTCACAGGATATTCCTTAATATTTTGTGGATATACATGCCTTCTTTCAAGGTATGAAGTCTCTTGTTTCACTAAAATGAGAAATCTTCTCTCATCATGGATCAGAACAGGAGATACGTCTGTGCACTGCATTCCTTAAAGTTCTTTGTAAATAATGGTCCAGTGGTTTTGACTTTGAAAAGTGAAAGCAATGGGTAAAACTGAGCAACAAGACAGATTTTAATCAAATCTTACATGGGTAAATGGGTATACCACTGCATAGTTAATTCTATCACTTTTTCCCTTAAATTTCCCTTAAATCTAATAGTGAAATGAAAAGCAGTAGTTGAGTATTTCCTTCTTCAGTTTACAGGCTTCAATAATAGTTATTTTGTATGAATATACTTAACTTCAAAACCCATATTCAAACCTACAATAACATCATTTGGGCACTGAAGGCAATTTTTTAACCTCTGTCAGAAATGATAATAAAAGCTAAATGAGAATGTGCTGAATGGCAATTGCAGTAGTGCAGAAACCTTTTGAGTTGTGTTTGATAGGCACTAGATTTCTTTCCCTAGACCATGCAAATAAATCATTTTGTTGGTTAATTTTTAATCACTGGATCTTTTTTCCAAGTAAGTGTTGAAGACAATTTCTGTATGTAGCTCTCAAAACTCTTAGGTGAAACTTCTCAAACTTCTGTATGATTCATCAAAGTGTGTGTTTACTAGTAAATATACAAAGGAGAATAACTGCTAGAAGGACATATGACCTAGTAGAACTTTTTTCACCCCTCCAGCACCTAATTGACATGAAGTTCTAAAACAGGTTACTTTAAGAATGATTTTAACTTTGTTTTTCTTTTTCATGGTGAAAAGGAAAAATGTCACAAACTTCAGTGTAATTTCACTTAAGGATTTATCCTGCAGCTCTGTCACATGTCACTGTATTTCCTTGGTTGTTATGTCAATAATGACAAAAAAAACTATGCCATACATTAGACAGACATCTTGGCATGGCAAAAGCAGTTGTTCAGGAGTATTTTGCTTTTACTTTGCTAAAAACAAGAAACTAAACTTACAGTGATGTCACTTGTAAGGGTAATACAGTTATTTGGGTGCCTTTTTAAAAATGGACAGATCAGTAGTTGCATCATGTCAGTAAGGGAAACCTTCAGACCAGTATTAAAAACATTCACTTTTGCTGAGTTACCATCAGATTTAAAGGTGAAATTTGTCTCTAACATGGCACCTAAATTTAGGTGTGCAGGTATCGCTTTCTGACATCCACATTTGTGTAGAGAACTTAGGCCTCATGACTTTTATTGTCAAAGGGCTTGATTCAGTTGCCTAAAGGTAGGCATCTGCTGTTGTCTGAGACTGTCATGTACTTTTTGGGTACTGCTTGTAACCTTGGGCTGCTAGATGAGTGGTCATGTAGCATGTAGAGCTTGTCAAGCTGTCATGAAGGTGTGAGGGAGGTTACAAAGGATGCTTTCCTTTCATTCTTGAGCTGGATGCCTCAGATACAGGGGACAACACTATGACTTGTTAGGGAATCAAATATTTCTACTTCTAGGTTTTATGGAATCATAGACTATCCTGAGTTAGAAGGGCCCCACAAGGATCATCAAAGTCCAACTCCTAGCCCTGCACAGGACAACCCCAAGAGTCACACCACATGTCTGAGAGCATTGTCCAAATGCTTCTTGAACTCTGTCAGGCTTGGAGCCATGAGCACTTCTCTGGGGAGCCTGTTCCAGTGCCCAACCACCCTCTGGGTGAAGAACCTCTTTCTAATATTCAACCTGAACTTCCCCTGACACAACTTCAGGCCATTACCTCAGGTCCTGTCACTGGTCACACAGAGAAGAGATCAATGCCTGCCCTTCCTCCTTCCCTCACAAGGAAGTTGTAACTGCAATGAGGTCTCCCCTCAATCTCTTCTTCTCCAGGCTGAACAGACCAAGTGACCTCAGACGCTCCTCATACGGCTTCCCCCCAAGGCCCTTCACCATCTTTGTTGCCCTCCTTTGGACACTCTGTAATAGCTCAATATCTTTCTTATATTGTGGTGCCCAAAACTGCCACAATACTCAAGGTGAGGCCACACCAGTGCAGAGCAGAGCAATCCCCTCCCTCGGCTGGCAATGCTTTGCCTGATGCCCCCAGGACATGGTTGGCCCTCCTGACTGCCAGGGCACTGCTGACTCATATTCAACTTTCCATCGACCAGGAACCCCAGGTCCCTGGATGTGAAGGTGATCTGGCTGCAACATCTGTCACCCCATTGATCAGCCGGGTTGATTGAGCAGATCTGACTGGCTATAGGTGGGGGTGTCCCCTTCCTCCGTCAGTGCTCCATGTGTGTCCCTTCTGAAGCTGCACACACTGTCACAGAGTGACCTCTGATGGTACTGTTTGTTGCTCAAGGGTGTACAGTAGCCCTGCTCCCCTGCTAGAACCTCCCAGTGAGCTCAAGGTTTATAGCTATTTGTGTTCTAACAGCAGTTTCTCTAATGACTTTTCAGTCATTGGAGCTGCCAGAGATCTAATAAAAATATTTTCTGAGTGATCAGGACATAGAGTTCAAAGCAAATTGGTTGTGAAATGTTAGGTCTGGGGATGTGTAGTGTCTTGACAGACAGGCAGGTATGTTTCCTCTTGTAAGGGTAGGGGCTAGAGTCTGTGAAGAGAAGATAGTACTGCCTTGTCTTCTTGTGAGCAGAAAACATCCTGTGTGAGGGAAGCTCTCTGTTAGCACAAAGAGTTGGCCCTGTGTTTATTCTCTTAATTAATGACTTACAGCATCTCTGCAGACATGTGAAAAGGTGTGCTCATGGTCATACCTCTTTCTTCTGTCAAAGGAGACCACAGCAGCATTATGTAATGATTGTTTATTAATGCAAGATTGAAACTTTTCACAAATACTTAGTCATACAAATCAAGATGTACTTCTCTGTGATAGTTTGGACTGAATATACACAATAAATATCATAGTTGTCTTATTTCAATTTTTAGAATACATCATGTCTCCGAACTAGTCACAAGAAGAGAAGGTAATAAATATGCAGTTTTCCAGATTTTAAGATGGATAAAGTGGAAGAGATCGCATCCATAATAACAAACATTATCACATCATAAATTCATAGCCCAGCACACTTGTACACTGCTATATGAATGTTGGTGTAATGAAAAACAGTGCAACATTAACATTACTTGGAACAGCTTCTAGTTGTTATTGAGGACCCACCACGATGCTGAAAGAGAAAATTTATTTATTTGTTAATATAAATGATATTTCTGGTAAAAATCCTAAATAAAATAGCCATAACATATATATAGAAACGTTAATTTATATATGCGGTTGATACTGGTGAGAAAGAATACTCAGAATACTGGGAGAGCTGAGTAGAACTGGTGGGGGCATGGCTTTAGCACAAGAATTTATATCACCTTTTGAAAACATCCAAAGAAGCATTAGCATGTCATAGGTGTGGTTGCATAGAATTAAGCACCCAGATCCTCATTCCTGTGCTGCTGCATGTGTCAGTATTTAAGCTGAGCACTGTGTCCTCTGGCTGGTTGTGTTACCTTAAATAACTTTCTTCCCTGGTGACATTAATCAAATCTGGTGGTGTTTTTACACAGCTCTGCAAATTAATAGTGTTTTGTCCCCAAAAGTAAGATAATTGATGAACATGTAAAATGTCATTCCTATAAAAGGATCTGTAATCACCAGATTATCGACAGAGCTGGAGTGAAGCAAATGTGTGTTTCTTCCCCACAGTCTCTCTTTGGCCTTTTGAAATTGAACCTTACGCAGAGAGGAAACACGAAGTGTGGAGAGAGACAGGATGGAAAGAAAGAAAGGAATTGTGACTATCTGAGATGCCAAGTGCCCATAGCAGAGGGGTGTTCTGAGCTCACTGAGTTTTGCACTACACAGTTTGGGGATTATATTCATTAACACAACTTGTTTCTTGTGAATGTATCCATAAATCCTTCCATTAATGCCATTTAAATGGAAAATATTATTATTGAAGAAAAATTATGAGAAGATACTTACGAATCTTACCTGAATTTGGGCTATGAAAGCCTAGTAGTCTCAGAAACTTCAGTGGACTAATGAATTCTGGCCCAAAAAATGCCAGTTTAACAGTTTATTTCATAGATTTATAGTGTTATAAGTGTTCGACAGTTTTCTCCTAGCTTTTGTTTTCTTCAGGCAAAGGTTCTCTAGTGTCCTCAAGGCCAGATCTGCTATGAAAATTAGGCATTCACTGAAGATGAACTAAGTGATTCATGCCACCCTGGTAGATTGCCTGAAGCAGCTGGGTCAGCTCACAGGTGTCTGAATGGTTATAATAGGTTATGGTTCCTATAAAGTGATTTTAAATTAATTTTCTATAGGTTAATACTGGATTGAACAGTCTTAAAAAGTGTTGTCTCTCTGAATCATTCTTGGCCACATAAGTGTATCCTTGTTAATTTTAATTAATTGGTGGGGTAAAGATTTTGGGTTGTAAACCTTGAATCAGGTTTAGATTACAATTTGTAATTCTTTCAGTTCTTAGTTACCCAAAGCTGTAAAAAGAGTTTGGAAGTTTCTGAGCTATGGTAGATTTGTTTCTAGAACAGAGCTTATCCGTGTGCTAATTGTGGACAGGTTTGGTGTTTTTTCTCCTGATTTTACAGTGTTACTACACTATGGTGTCTGAAATTCTTTCCTAAAATATACTGGTAGGATTTCAGCCATCATTTTTTACTTCAAGAACTTTTTCTGTCTTTCAAACACAAATAGGATTTCACAGAATCATAGAATCGACTGGGTTGGAAAAGACCTCTGAGATCATCAAGTCCAACCCTTGATCCAACACCGCTGTGGTTACTAGACCATGGCACTCAGTGCCACATCCAGTCTCATCTTAAAAACCCCCAGGGACGGTGAATCCACGACGTCCCTGGGCAGCCCATTCCAATGTCTGATTACTCTGTAAAAAATTTTTTCCTAATATTGAACCTAAACCTTCCCTGGCACAGCTTAAGACAATGTATAGACCAAATTTGTATAGATCAGTCGTAGGAAATACTTTCCATGAAACAAAAGTCCACGTCTCTGCACAGATTTCTAAATTACAGGTAATCTATAAAATTGCACAAATGACTGTGAATGCATTTATTCCCATTGCCCCAGCAAGGAGTGCACAGTGAGAAATGCTGTTCCTATGGCAACAGTCTGCCAGGATAGAGTGCTGCAGACTGAAATCCTTCTAAGCAGGCAGAGTCAATGCTTTAATGAATATTTGGAATTCAATTTCAGACACATCTATATTTAGGCATTTAAAAATAATGTTTACATTTTATGTTAATTTTACTTTACCTGTGAGTAGACTACCCTGGAACGCTCCTGGATCATATGCAGTCTAACACTCCCAACACAAAGAATTTTGGGAAAAGGCATCATTGTTTCCTACAGCCAACTTTGTTTTTTAAATTTCCCAGTAAGATACAAGATTTACAGAGATTATTGGTTCATTAGGTGTAGTCTCTTGGTACTGCAGGAATCCCTGTCATATAATTGTGCTCAGATCAGGCTCATGAGGTCTGAAGATGTCTTGGCTGGTTTCTTTTAAGGAGAAACTCCAGGTACAGGACTACTTTTTTTTTCTACTAGGTGTGGTTTTGTGATTTTAAATTTAGCTTGTACGGAGACATAGAGGAAATTAGGGTTTTATTTTAATAGATTTGTGTTCCGTAAAATAAAAAATAATTGCTCTCCTCCCTGTGTAAATATGGGACTGATGCTTGCTTTCCTTCATTCTGCACTGTCTCTTAACTTTCATTTCTAGGAAAAGGAAGATTTTGCATGCTCATTGGTTTGCATTAGGAATAATAATTTGGAATCTTTAACACCTTGTTTTTTAAAAGTAGTTTTTTAACATAGCAGGAAAAATGTAAAATAGATTGGTTAATAAACATAAATTATTAGTAATTAAGGCTCCCTTCAGGCAGTGTAAATAGGATTAAGTTGAAGTCTTCATCAGAAAGCATTTCTTTGCTTGAAAATCTTAAACAGGGTCTGTTTTACCATTCACAAACAGTATTGTTTATTCTAGATATTTTCTTAAACAGAATATGCTTGTGTATGTTTACACTATATAAAATAAAGCATTGTGGGTCTTCTTCTTGCTGATGCATTTTATATTTCTGTGGTTAAAATAAAAGCATTTGGAGTCCTTTTCTCCTCCATACTTTACCAAAGATCTGACTAAGGGTGACATTATGCAGTGGTCTTGTGTATGGAACACACTAATATTGCAGAACTTTTTATCTGGAACTAACAATTTAATGTGAAAAGTTGATATTTACCAGGGACTAGCATTGTTGTGATGAGCTCTGGAGTTTCCAAGAAATCCACATTACTTCTTTGGAATGTCTTGCTGTAATTCATTTGAAGGTGGCTAAATGTAAAAAAAAAAAAAAAAAAAAAGTTTTTTAAAGGGACTCAATTTTTTTTTTACGAGCATTAGAAATTTTACAGTTGATGCTATACAGAGATTTTGTGCTTCAAAACTTAGGCAATGGTGATAGTGGGAGAGGAGTCCAGATAAGCTGTGAAGTGCTTGCATATTATATTAAACACAGGTTTTCTTCTGTGCATCTAGCTGTCACTCTGATGCTCGTCTTGTGGTTGTGACCCAGTGTAGTGTTGACATGTGTTATGAGTGTTCTTGAGTCTTTGTGATAGGAAACCCAGTAAAACTTGGGTTTTGTTCAAAAGGAAAGCGACTGAGCTTCGAGAGACTTCTCCATCTCCCTTCAGAACAGTTTCTGTCTTCAGATCATAGGGTTGGTTTGTGTGGGATTTAACCTAAATGTAGTTAAGGACAATCCTTTTGTCTCTTCTCGGTTTCTTATCTTCCTGCTGGAGGGTAGAATTCAACTAGTAGGATTTTTAATCACTACAACTTCTATTTTGGGCCCAAAAGAGACACTCTGGGAGTCTGTTAGATGGGTTTTTGTGATGTGGATTGGGAAGCTGTGGGAGAGCTCCCCAGGACTACTTGTATGCTGAACTGTGCTGCGGGATGGCGTGTTCTATCTGTTGGCTCCTGTTTCTTTCTTTCCCATTAAACTCTGGTAATATTGCCACCTTCCTGTTCTTTTGTCTCTGATGAACTAACATCTATCTGATGATATATTTTTATCACTTTCAGACTTTTTCTGTTTTGAATTAGTTTTGTCTTTCTGATATTTTTATTTATGTTTCAGTATATTTAAGTCTAGCAATTGAAGTATTCTGAACTATTAATTGTGATATATTTAGCAAGAAATTGGTTAGCAGTATTTTAAGTAATTTATATTCAGTCTTTCTGCACAAAACCTTCAAAACTTTATGTATTACCAAAAAAAAAAAAAAAAAACCAAACACCAAACCCCCCCAGAGCTTACCTATTCCAGACATTGCTGTTCTCCCAGAACTCATAAACAATGAAGCGGAAATTACTTGGAAGCTTCTGTATGGAAATACTAAGAATTGTACAATTGAACTAATTTAATAAAACACAACAAAGTTATTGGACATACACATCTTATTCCAAACTGCCTGTAAGTAGGACCAAATGCAGTGATTTTTGAAAAAAAAAAATAAATAAAACAACAAAAGGAAAACCAAAAAACCCAAATAATAATTTTAACAAATGAGTGATCATATACTACAAATTATCTTAACTTTAAAAAAAACCCAAACTCTTGTCGTATACTTATTTTTACTTAGTAATATTTTATATTGCTACACTTAAGATGGACTCTTATTTATGAAACTCATTTTTCATTTTGCTCTAATAGTACCATATTTGTAAAGAAATGCTAATCAGTAATACATAAAATTAAATAACTGTGGTTCAGGAAAGATCAGCTAATACAGAACCACAGAATATGCCAAGTTGGAAGGGACCTGCAAGGATCATCAAGTCCAACACTTAGTCCTGCACAGGACCATCCCAAAGAGTCACACCATGTGCCCAAGGGTATCGTCCAAACGCTTCCTGTACTCTGTCAGGCTTGTGACCACTTCCCTGGGGATCCCGTTCCACACAGTGAACAGTTTTGAGTAAGTTTGTAGAGGTTGTTTCACTGAAGAATTACACAGTAGGAGTTATCTTTTTGTATAAGAGATGCATCGAAGTGTCATGGAATTTCTGTGCTTTGAAAGCAAATGGAGTATATCTACAATGTAGTGTAAAGTCAGATAGGCTGATATCTGCTGCATATACATTTTTAAAATAATATTTTGGGTACTAGTTACTTGTCCTTACACTTTTCAGCTAACAATATATCATGGATCAACAGAGTATCTGTTGATCCTCTACAGATAATCATCCCACTTACTATCCTGAGCATAAAACCTTTATAGCACGTACGGTACTAATGCCTGTGGGTACTCAAATTAGTGTTTAGATAAATAGTACAAAAAGTATATATACATATTTCTCTAAGTGCCCAAATGTAAGATTGCTGATCTCACTACTGATGTGCTTGAAAACTGATATCAGATTATATTTCATACTGTAATAAGCAATGTTTTATGATTTATTGGTTTTCTCCTGCTGCATGTGCAAGCACATGGTAAAATAGCAAATACATCGAAAGCTCTTGGAAAAAAAACAAATCCCTGTCATTACCAGCTACAGCAAAACCCATCCGGTAGGTGGCATTACAGACTTACCAAATGCCTGTGAACTTGGGAAAGAAAGGAACTTCCTGCCGTCATTTGTTAAGTTGCATTCTAAAGTCATGTAAGCTCTCTCCCCTGACAAGTCTGCAGTCACTACAGTCTTTAGCTTGGTGTTCATTTTTGGAAGGGGCCAGAGGGGCTTCTCTTGGTTTTTTTTTCCATCTCTTGGCCAACGGGAGAATTTTATTTTCCTCATCAGTCTGCCTTTACAAGTGAACCACTGCAGAAATTTCACTTCTCTTGCAGCTTAACTTACTTTTTCTGGTCTGTGCGGACACTATTGATAAAATCCTAAGTGTGATGATCTCATAGCAAAGGCTTATAAATTAGAGGTATAATAGACAGGCTTTGAAGCCTTTGAATATATAGGAAGATCCTATATTGTGTACACATATAAAAATATCTTTTTCATAATGGTCTACAGTGTGTACAGTAGTAACTTTCTCAAGTGTGTGAAATTCAGAAATTCAGAACAGCGGTGAGCCATGAAAATTTATTCTTAACCCATAGTAGTTTATTTAATAGTTTATTTAATTCTAAAAGGAGCAAAGCAGAAACACAGTTTCATTGAAAATTTTGCTTTTTAATTTTCCCAGTTCTGTATTATGAATTAAAATTTTAAAATGACAGCCTAAAGGGAAGATTCTGAAAGCTTCTAAGCAGAGAACTGGTAAACAAGTTGACAAGTTGCCAGGTGAGCACAAATGAAGGCTGGCAAATGAGTTTTCCAATAAAGAGTCTCAGCCTAGGAGCTTCCAGAAGTCATGAATAAATGACCTGTGGAGCTAAGAAGCCTGAAAAGATTGTTTAACATCTTTGGGATAGCCTTTATGGTCATTTTTTGATAGTACTTTAAATCTGCACATTTTGACATCTTTTTCTAGTTCTAGTTGTCTTTGAAAAGCTCTGTCTTACAGATTATGCACAAGCTGCCAGGACAGGTGTTACAGGTTCTCTCTTTATAAATAATCCCAGTTATTCAAGAAATGAAACTACCTTCCTTCCTTCCGCCCAAGGACAATAACATTGTACTTACTGCAGGCAGCCACCCAGAGTAGAAGCAGATTCCACATACTGCTTCAGGGCAAGATGGAATTCCTCAATTTTTTCTTCTATCACACACATTTGATTTTGAACGATCATTATGTGCTGATACAAAAACATTACAATATTACTGCCATATCATCCTCTGAATTCCTTGTACTTTAAACTCAGAAAAGTCATATCATGAAACGAAAAAACCATAAAGCATGAAAGCAAATCCACAGAAGTTCCTTTGAAGTTTGCAGTCCCCATTTTAGTGCTCTTGAGTGGAGAAGTAGAAATGCTCAAGTGTGGCTCTTATGTCTAGACAAGCTGAGGTACAGAATGGAAACACCCAAAATGAGTGTCCATCTCAGAGACAGTTGTCCTAATCCTGGATGAGAGAGTCTTTTCAGAAGAGTGCAAAGCAAATGCTGATCTTTGAAATATTCAGTAATAAAGACAGTGTGTTTCCTTGGGTGAATCTGTATGCAAACAGGTCTAAGGTCTGGGATAAGAGCAAACCCCCACAGTCTGCACTGGATATGTTGTTGCTTTTACCTTTTAGAGCCCTGACTCGCACCTGAGTGAGATGCCTAAGGCAGCCCATGTTAAGTGATGAATAGAGAGGGTTTTCTTTCCTCCACCTTTCTGAAAATGAACAATCCTTATAAACAAGACTGGAAACACTCAGCAGTACAGAAGACTATTTATCCTTTTAGCTATTTTAAATAGTTTACTTGTTGATTCATCTGTTGAAGCTTGACAACTTTACTAGTGGAATATTCAAAGCAACACAATGTGCTTCTTAATGAATACAACTTAATTTCTTGTACAGGTTTTTGACTCATTTCTACCTTGATTATTAATACAGCTATCTTATGAATTATAAGCAATCTGTCTAGCAATATTGTATGGTCTCATTTAAAAAAAAATCTAATGCAACTCCTGTGATGAAATAATGATCCAATTTGATGGATCATATCTCTTGGTTATTTTTTCATGTATATTTGATTTGCGTTGCATTAGGTTCAAAACTCTGAATTTAGGAATGCTAATCTATCAATCTTGGGACATAAACTTACTTAACAGTAAGTTTATTTTTGGTCATGATTTTGATTTTGTACATTGTAATATCGATTACTGCTTAGCACTAGATAGTCTCCCATCTTTCCTGTTAAGATTTCCTGTAGCAGTTTTGGGAGGGAAGGAGGCTGTACAACCATGATTTAAAGCATGCATACAGCATTAGGTGATTTGAAGCAGAGAAGCTACCGCCCCATAAACACTGCTGCCAAATTTGTAAATCTTACTAATGACACCTTTTCCTCCTTATGCAAGTTAAGGTTTGGCTCCCTGTATCCTTTGAAAACAATGCAAAAATTAATGTAAAATTTTTGCTCATGTATTCTGAGTTTTGTTCTATTGCCTCTTTCACAGTTAAATAAAATGGTTTCACTGCTAAATAAAATGGTTTCTTATCACTGGAAAAAGTGAGAGTAATGATTTTTACAGTTACTTTTTAACGAAAGAGACCAGATGAGATTGTTGTCTCAACAGCTAGCATTCATAATCAAATGTGAAAATCGTTATCTTGAAAAGTACTTACAGATCTTGCATTTTCTTCTAAAACTTCCTCTTCAAATGGCTCAAGCTTTAGGTCCTTTTAGGCAGTTGAAAAGAAAATAGAAAATAGAAGAGTCAATACTACAGCCATATTCCGCTCTTACCTTTTTAACAAACTATTCCAATAGCTAGATTCTGTTTTATTTCAAGAAGTTATAACTAAATGCCTTCTTTATTAGCTGTAAGTCAAGCATAAATGTTGATCTGGTATACCTCAGTGATTAATCCAGGCTGGACTCTTTTGTAAAGGTTTATCTCTAATGCTCAGCAGGGTTTTTTTCATTCAAAAAAGTAACAAAACCACTTGTTCACAAATGTATGGACTTAACTGAGAAAAGACATACATGCTCTCAAATTGTCACGTGAACTATAGAGATGAGCAAGAATGGTAATTTGGAATGAACTATCAGTTACTATTATGCCATGATAAAACTTTACACAAAGGGAGATTCTCTGCGGGAGGTTTATAAGGGGTTGCAAGGGACTGTTTTCTAGTGTCAAGAGATTTGTATGATGGTCCAGGTCAGGTTTCTGAACTGCTGCACTTGCTGTGAGCACAGGCTGGGCAGCAGCAAACAGATGTGTCTGTGAGGCAGCAGCATGTTTGGCACATGGGCTGGATGTGCGCTTCATGAATCAGTGATTGACACAAACACCAACTACTAGTGCACACAAAATCATCCTTTACATGCTAGGCACATGCAGTACTTTCTAACTCAGGGCCATTACGATATTCTGAAAAATATCCGTATGCCTGAAAAAAAAAAGGAGACTGATTTCCAATCAGCAGCTGGAGAAAAAAGCACTCTTTGTTTGTGGTGCTTCACTTCTCACTGCACACAGTTCTTGTGCAGCAAAGAGAAAAAAATTTCTTATGCTCCCAGCCTGGGTGAGGATTGATTAACCTCAGATAGCAGGCATTCTGCCAGCACAGATGCTGTACTCGCTGAAAACCAACAAGAGATGTGCAGGTAGAATTCAAATGAACAGAGGACCTCCACCAGCAGCAGGTGGCAGATCAAGGCAGCAGTGAAATACTTAGAAACTACTGTGAACGTGGATAGAAAAGCATAAAATGTGTGTGTGGAGGGAAAAACACAGCTTTATTGTCAGTTCAAACACTTCAGGTAAAAAATCTGAAGGGAAAATGCATATTCCTGTAATTCTTCCATGCTTTCAGTGCCATTTTTTTCTAGGGAAACATGGCAAAAGAGAGGAAGGAATGATTCTGCAAACTTTCTCTAAAGGTATCAAGAAAAGAATTCTTTTTTGGTTTTCGGTGTATGTAAATTTAGAACTCGAGTAAAAATAGGCAGCTTACAAGACTGATTCATGGTCAAATTCACTTTTGACAGAAGGCAGCAGAAGACTTAGACAACACTGCATCAATCCTTCACCAAGTTGTTTTCCAATAGAAACCACTGACTGATAACTTGCTACCCCTCCAAAAAATAAAAATAATCCATAGCAGTTCTTCAGTAGTGTTATGTTATTAGACAGGGCATGACTACACAGATAGGATGTCTACAGAGCCAGCCTGTATGACCTTGGAGCATGTGAGCACTGGCCCATAGTCCTCATCTGCGTGGAAAGAGTGCTTATGCACTGCGTGGCTTGACTTTGAGCACAAGTGAAGTAGCCCAGTGTGCATAACAGAGGCTCTGCCAGCCCGTTGCCAAGCAGCCTGGAAATAAAAACTCATGCAGCTCAAAGCTGGGGCTTTAAAATGACTCTGGAGTCCTATCTCACCCAACTGAGAAGTGGTGGCTTTTGAAATTGCCTTTTAGCATGATTCTGCAATCCTTTCCAATCTGTTTCAGGGCAAAGTCAAAAAGAGGGACTTTTAATAGCTGCTGAAAGACACCTCTCACAGTCAGACATGGCTGAGAGATACAAAGTCAAGCAGATGCCAAGTTAGGCAAAGGTTAGGGTCTACTGGGAGAGACTGTCTACTGGGAAAATTAGGCTTATCTAGTTGCTGTGTTTTAGTAATCAAGGTTTATATTGAAAAGGAGGTAATTATGGGAGTTCAATGCCCTGTCATTGTTTCCCTTTGCACTGAGATCCTTTTCAGATTGTCATTTAAACATGGCAGATTTGATATTTTTATAACATCCTCGTTGTAAGTTTATTCACCACAAAATGGTTGGCTGCTTTCTGTAATGTTTGCATTGCATTATTGCTGTAGGCCAGGTTTCTTTTTTTTTTCACATTCTTTTAGATGTTAGGTTTTCTTTTGGCATAGGTCTGTGTTGGGCTGGACAAGCTGTGGCGGGGCAGTGAGCTGCTGTTTCCAAACCAGAGATGGGAGTAAAGCCAGATGAAAAGTGAGATTTACCTTTCATGATGGACTTTGACATTTCAAAATCTAGTTTATATCTATTCAGGAAAAATCAAGTTGCCACTAAAACATCATTAACGTGGCAACTGCCATGTAATTGCCTTTCTCTTGCAGAAATGATCTCTGGGAGGAAGCAGTTGTATAGAGGCTCACAGGTAGGCTCTGGCCAGAGGCTTAATGGGCTGAGCTGCTGAGCATTGCAAGCAGCAGAGTGAGAAGCCAACAGGACTTAAGGACAGTGCTTCAAGTAATGGCCAAATTTCACAGCTGGTTAAGGAGAAGTGATGAGCACAAAGTCTTGCAAGGCCAGCAATGCTGGGGGTGACCATATGCAGCTAATCAGTAATAAGACTGAAATAACTGAAATACCCAATACTGTTCCCAAACTGGGAGCAAAGGGCAAAAGTAGCTAGAGGTGTTTTTTTCATTTGGGAGGGAGCAATGGCAGAGAAAGGTCAGTATGCTTCTCTTGCTGAGCCCTGTGCCAAGTCACCACTATTTTTATTTTTTTGTTAAATCCCTTAACTATTTTCTGTGTGTGCAATTTGCTACTGAACTCAAGTTGGATGACTGGTTGAGGGAGAGGAGACACTTGTCTGCCAGGGCCCAAGGTCTGAGCCAGTGCCTGGGTAAGAGGTGCGGGTCCAGGCACAAATACTTTAAACCCATGATAATGCTCACGAGGCATCATCCCCATGATCATCCCTGATCAGCTGAAAAGAAAGAACAGGATCAGACTGTTTCATCTTCCTTCAAGTGCTGCTGTTCATGTTCATGTTCCTGCAAGTGCTGCCTGTGTGTGGGTGCTGGTGAAGACACCTGTGCCAACGTCTTTGGAGTACATGCACAGTCTCATTGCTGGTGAGCACTGACCTGTGGGTAGAAGCTACATCAGCTGCACAGGGAATGGAGCTACTCCTGAGTCTGAGAGCACTCGGTCTAAAACCTCACCTCCAGTGGACCAGGAGGAAGAAACCCCATGGTCCCAAAATCCACTGAATTCAGCCACTCCCAAAAAAAAGAAGTCATCACACACAGATAAAAAAAAAACTTTTGTACACCAGGGTAGCAAGTAAATCTGAATAATAATTAAAAATAATAGATACTTTCTGTATGGATAGACGTGGCTCAGGATTTTACAAGCCCCCGGATTGTAAATGCTGGCATTGTTGGATCAGATGGGTCATTTTCAGACTCCTGGAGGGGTCTGATTTGATGTGGGAACCACAGATGGTTTCTGGGCTCTGGGGCCTCTGCAGCCAGCTCCCAGGTGGGATTGCATCAGCTTTTGGTTGAACTTTACTTATTAGGAAAGTGTTTTAAGCTTTATGCATGAGTATTCTCTGATGGAAAAGGAGGAAATAAAATGTTCTGTCGTGCTTTCATGGGAAAGTTTGGAGAGGAAAAGAAAAATATCATATTCTAAAACCAGAGGCTTATACCATGTTCCCCAAAACAAGCATAACTAAATACAGTAACATTCTCCAGGCATATTGTAATGCAACTTTTCAGATCTTTATGAAAAGTTGAATCTGTGGTGATAGGAAGGGGAAAGGGGAGCATGGAAAAACTATGGCATGCTGTCATGCAATAGGAAAGAAGAAGGTGGAAGAAAAATGTAGGCATTTAATGAGTGTTAACTCTCTTAGGTGGTGTTGAAGTTTCACTCATTGTTGATTGGAAAGACTGCAACTGGGGCACTGAAAACATTTGTGTTTTCAAAAGGGTTGCTTTACTGAAAGTGAGAGAACAAACAGGTGGAAAAAAACACACACCTTCTTTTCCAGTCTATCAATTAGCTTCTGGAGTCTGTTTATCTGGGTCATCCACTGGCTGTCTTCCTCAATCCAACCTTCGGACAAGATAAATAATGAACATTTAAAAAATGTTACTAAAGTGCTGGAACATAGTGTATTCCTGTATTTTATTTAAAAAAAAAAAAAAGCTTAGCTGCATTTTCTTTTTCTTCTCAAAAATTATGCTCCAACTAGTTCAATGTTCATTTAGGTAAAACTAAAGGAAAGCATGATTTTGACTCTATGAATGATTTTTGTTCTTTTTAAGATACAGTAGAAAACCACTATGGAATTAAAACTACATTCTAGATTAATGCTAGTGCTTTGGAAATTGTGCTGGTACCTGAAGAAAACTCTCCATCTCTACTGCAATTATATTCCTGCCTGTATAATGACCTGATCGTAGAATCATAGAATGGTTTGTGTTGGAAGGGACCTTAAAGATCATCTAGTTCCAACCCCCCTGCCATGGGCAGGGACACCTGCCACCAGATCAGGTTGCTCAGGGCCACATCCAACCTGATGTGATGTCATATATCAAGGGTGAAGCTAGAAGATGATGTTCTACAAAGGCACAAGCATCTGGGCTATGAAGATGGTAAAGGGCCTAGAGGGGGAGACCTACAAGGGAGCAGCTGAGGTCGCTTGGCTTGTGCAGCCCACAGAAGAGGAGACTGAGGGGGGACCTCAGAGCAGTCTGCAGCTTCCTTATGAGGGGAAAAGTAGGAGCAGGCACTGATCTCTCTGGTGACAAGTAACAGGACCAGAGGAAATGGTCCTATGAGGAGAGGCTGAGGGAGCTGGGGTTGTTTAGCCTGGAGAAGAGGAGGCTCAGGGGAGACCTCATCATTCTCTACAACTACCTGAAAGGAGGCAGTAGCCAGGTGGGGGTTGGTCTCTTCTCCCAGGCAACTATCAGTAAGACAAGAGGGCATGGTATTAAGCTGTACCAGGAGAGATTTAGGCTGGATATTAGGAAGAAATTCTTTCCAGAGAGGGTAATTAGGCATTGGAATGGGCTGCCCAGGGAGGTGGTGGATTCTCCATCCCTGAAGGTTTTTAAGATGAGACTGGATGTGGCATTTAATGCCATGGTCTAGTAACCACGGTGGTGTTGGATCAAGGGTTGGTCTTGATGATCTTGAAGGTCCTTTCCAACCCATCTGATTCTATGATTCCATGAAATGGCATCAAGCTGTGTTAGGGGAGGTTTAGGTTGGATATGAGGAAAAAATTCTTTACCCAGGGGGTGGTTAGTCACAGGAACAGGCTCCTTAGGGAAGTGGTCACAGCACCAACCTGTGCTGCTCTAAGTTCAAGAAGCCCTTTGACAACACTCTCAGGTACAGATTCTTTGGGCTATCCTGTTCAGGGCCAGGAGTTGGATTTCAATGATCCTTGTGGGCCCTTTCCAACTCAGGATTGTCTATGATTCTGTAATTCTGTGAGTCTCTCTGAAGTCTCTGGAAAATTTTGCTTTGCTAAAATCTCATGAAAATTGTCTACTAGATGGAAGGGATAATACTCAAGAAAACAAATATGTGCATTATTAAAGCAGTTCCTGACATCACTCACAGTGTAAATGTCTACATAAGTGGTTACTCTAAGGAGAGAGGTAGGTTATTTATCAGAAACTGAAGAATTTTCAATACATGCTCTTGTTATGCACATTCATTAACCTGCTTATTTTCCAGCTGAGAGTTTTTGTGGCTCTTGAATATGTTTTGACCAGAGAAATCCTAATGCTGAGAACATACCACAGCTGTGGTCTGTAGAGGCAGCAGAGTGCAGCTTTACCTGAACAAGTACATAGTCTAAAGAAATGCTGGCTTGAGCACTGAATGCAAATACACACCTACAGTGTTACTGTGCATGTGAGCAGAAGGCAGTAAGGAGGAAGATCAAGTGCCAAGACGAACACAAATCTTGTGCAGGAAAGTAGACAGCTATTAGCTATTAGTAAAACTGTGGGGAAAGATGTTAGCTCTTTAAAATTACATCAATACAGTAAGGTGATTTGGTAAAGCTTGCATATGTTTGGGTTCCTTCTGAACTCTGTGAATTAGCAATGCTGCAACAAGGCTATGTGACCTTCCTTGTTATGAACAACAGTAACTCACAACAAAAGACCAAACATCATCCTGTATCACTGAGCCAAAAGAACAGCATTATTTGGTGAGTGGCACAAAGTGAGTCAGGAAGGTGAGTGACAGAAAGGTCTTCAGAAGAGGGTTAAAAAGGAAGAGGTAAGCATGTGGCAAACATTGAGATCTGCATGACTGGTCAAGAAGTGAGCCTGTTCCATCACATATTTTGTTGTTTCAGAGATCTTCATGCCTTGATTTTGGCATCACTAAGCATGGAGACACCTTCACTGCAGCCTCATGCTTAATGTCACTGCTTCCAAAGAATCCCATTAACCAAAGTGCACTATCACATTTTCTAAAGGAGAAATGCTGATTCAGATTTTTTTGGTGTCATCTGAAATGAAATATTATTTTCTTTTGCATTTTATATTTTCCCTTTCTCTTTCTTATTTGTTCCTCTCAGCTGGGATGTAAGATATGGCAGAAAACTTGGTTCCTTATAATTTACAGCCTTCGCCTTTTCATTCATTTCTGCAGGCTACAAATATTACCTAAAAATGTTGAATCAATCCAAAGTCCCCAAACAATATCACAATTCGACCCATAATTATATATTTATTTTTATCAGTTCACATCTATGTATATATAGTTATTTTCCTCATGGTTTGAGTTAATACCTTCTATATTAAATTGAAATTGTCTTCTGTCAGTAAAGTATCTGAGTTAGTTAGGTGTCTAAATTAAATTTTTGAGAGAAAGATATGTGTATATTTTTCTGTATATGTGTGTATGCCCATGTTTTAAGTATCTTGAAAATGTGAAATACATACCTGTGCTAGAATGAGGGTTATTTGATGACAAACTGTTGTTCTTCTGAAGCCTTCGAGCTGAGCGTTTCCCTGGCCATTGGACTGAGAGCACTTCTGGTTTTGTTGGATCTTTTCTGCACAGAAACACAGGAGACTTCTTAAGATAAAATTTGTGGGAGAGCTCTCCTCTCTCTGTTTTTAAAAAATGTGCTTCTGCGTTCCCTTTTCAATTAAAAGAAAAGAAATACCTATTGAGACCACTGGACTATTTTCCAGATTTTCACTATTACTGATTAGTTGTGGTTATGTCATTAAAGAAGTTAAAAAAAAAAAAAGAAAAAAGGAGGGTTAAGCTGGCATAAACTGTAGATCTTTTAGGGATAGAAATCTCAAGGTCAGTGTCTGTCTGTAATGTGGCTCTGACCTGACCTAAGAAATCATTCACTCAGTTTCTTCATTCACAGGAGTTTTGTAGCATCGCTGCAGAGGAACTTCACAATGCCATCTAAAAGTGAGATAGGAACTTTAAAAATTGACCCCTACAGCTTAAATATTAAAAAGATAATCAGCAACCTGTATCTGTTAATAAGGAAGGAAAACTGATGAGAATTAGCTGATATTGGATGCAGGACTGATACACTTCTGGGACCAGTAGTGAAACATAGCAGATACAGAAATGATTTATGTTTTTACTGTGATGACAGAGTCATTGAAGCTTGATATTTTGTGTGAGGACTAAAGGCTGTCTTTATGTGGTTCTTCATCATCCAGCTGGCATGCAATGAAGGACCAGGACTATGGTTAATTTTGAACAGTTAGTTGGATGAGTGGTTGCAAAGAGTATTAGACAGTAGCCTAAACAGTTCAGTAAATAATTCTCATGCCACTGTTTTGGAAAGATATCTGGTCTCCTGAAGCACAGAATAAAGGCTCACTAAAAGTTCACACACTGTGTTAAGGAGATGTTTTAGGATGGTGTTTTCTGCAGCATCAAATCCCTTCACAGTAAGTCAAATTGCAGCAATTCCCCACTGTGAGCACTCTGAAATTAGTTTAGGAGTGTCTTAATGGGATTCTGATTCAACCAGTTTGCCCCTGAGTTTTGTTAAACATAACTGAAGATGATTTTACATGTGGACTGGGGCATCTGCACTAAGAACTAACTAGTTTTCTCCAGAATAGCTGTAGTTAAAGTGCTGAGTTTGCCTGGCTTTTTACTGCTACCTTGGAAAATGGGAAAGATGGTATTTGGTTTAAGTGTGTCACACCTCTTTTTTTTTTTCTTTGCCACAAATGAAATTCAGCATTCCAGAGAATATTTCTGAACAACTGTACTGATAAAACTGGAGAAAAAAGTCTCCACAATGCCCTACTAGACAGTCAATTTGGTCAAGAAAACTCACTGCAAAAGGGATGTTCATGTCACCCAGTTCCAAGCACCCAACTGGGTAGTTTGAGTTACTCAGATGGTCTTTCTAAACTGTATTTCCAGAGAGGCTGTCCTAAAGGGCAAGTCAGAGAAATCAGTGATTACTTCAGAAGATGTAAGGGCACCTCAGTTAGGCTCTAGCTCTGAACTGGCCATTCAAGATTTCTTTCTCTCCTATCAGTTGCTGCGGAACCTGGAAATATGTATGCATGAACAGAGAGATATATAGATACTGTTCGTGCTTGGTGCATCCTCAGACTTCCAAAAACTGTTTGATTTCTACGGTCAAGCTGCTGGCACAAAACCCCAGGGTATTATTCATGTACTTTAGAGATCTCAAACCCAACAGCAAAACAAGCAGATGACATTTCCAAAAGAAAGGTCTTAAGATCTTCTTCGTCTGCAAAACAAAACAGTTCATATTTTGCTTTCTTTATCATCTTTAACAATAGCATACTGAGGGGGAAAAATCCATAAAAAACTCCTCTTAGTGGGTTCCTATATGGAATAAAAAGTGTAACCTTGTTTCTCCTGTTATTCCCTACATCAGATTGCTGGGTGAGATGTAAAATAGAAGGTTCACAGTGACCCCACTCCTCACCCCTTCATTGCAGCTGAAGAGAAAGTTTGCTCACCTCTCCTGCCGGGTCTGCTCCTCCGTGGTTTCCATGGCACACTCCAGGGAGCTCTGCAGGGACTGAAGCTGGTTCAGTGTCTCCTTCAAGAGAAAGCGAGTCACAAACTGCTCCAAATTAGAAGCCTCCTGATAGTCCTAAAAATTACATAGGGAAAAAAATAAAGGTAAGGCTTTGCCTACTAGGTTAGAAATACACGAGGGAAGGTTCAGACTTCATTCAGAAAGGAAGCAGGTTGGATGTTTTCACAGTTGTATGTGCAAACCACATAATCAGCCTTTATGTTTCTGGACAAAAAAACCTCTGAATTTTCAGGTATAGACACAAATGCCACCCATGCTGAGAGAGGCCCAGATACACAGTGGCACAGCATAGTTTTTACTCAAAAAATCCCTTTTCCTTACATGTCTTAACTCCAGTTGGTGGCAGCACCACATTACTTCTTAAGTGTGGTAAAGTCAAAATAAGACTGACAACTGCAGAATTGAATTTAAAGTTTTTATTCAGATCCACTTTTCTGAAAATTGTTTATCAAGCCCCACTGGCCTGTCTCTGACAGTAATTATGGGAATAGTCTCTGAGCAAGGCACATGCTTAGTGATACTCCCTTGAAAAACTCCTCCTTCAGCTGGCTGAAGGACCGATGGTGCAAGAGAGGTTGCCTTCTGAATTTAAGAGTCTTTGACTGATTTTTATTTCTTTAATTTGTTTAATTATTTTTGAAACCATATATATATATATATTTTACAATTACATGAAATGCATCTAAATGTTATTTGAGCTAAAGTTATTAGAAAAGTTTGCACCTATACGTAGCAGTCTGTAGTGGTTCTTTGTGTAATGACATTTCCAATATACTGTATGTATTCAAAAATATTTATGCTTTTTTGGTGTAGATAATTTCAGAAATAAATTCTTACCCCTGCTTTCTCCCTGGCCCAATGAATCATATGCCATGGATGGGGTCAAATTTAATGTTTCTGGCAAGCCTAGATCTGCAAAAACCCGCTGTGGTCTCTTCCAACTGTATCCATTCTGTGATTCTGTAGTTCTGCAGTAGCACATAGGTAATGCTGTGTGAGGGAGGTCACCTTTACAATAATATAAACACTCTCTTGTTTTCTCATTAGTAAGTGTAATAGAGAGGATAGAACAGACCCCTAGAGCCTCTGTTTACTGTGTTGAACTCACATTAGGAACAGAGAAAGAAAACAGATTTCCATCTCTTAAACTCTGAATGAATTTATTGGCTCCCCACTCAGCTGATCTTGAAAACCTTTGGGTACAATTCCACCTAAAACAATTTCATAAAATATGAGATACCTTAAATGAAAGATTTCTTTAGTCACGACATCCAAAGAGATGCTTTAAAGAAGACGTCATTTCAGTGGTGTTGCCTCCTACTCTGAGAACCCATTTGAGTAGTTTTGGCAATGCATATGGGTATTTTAAGCTCTTCCATGTTCTTCCCAATATGAATGACAGCTGAAATGCTTTTTTGATTTTTAGACTTCTCTTAGAATTTTTGCATGCATGTGTTTGCAATCAGAACACAAATAAGATGTTTTGAAATTTAAATGTAAAATTGAAGACTGACAGATAATAGCTTTAAAACCATTTTGCTTTCAATTGAGAGTGATCTATTCACAATATATGTTATTAAGTTAGTTCTTGCTGGAAGATTTCTGCTGCAGAAATCTCAGGTGTTAAACCACTCATGAATCATCAGAAGTTACTTATGTAGCCAGAAGCTTTGTGGTCTTCTATATTTACTTCTTCTGTCTTCAGATTAATCAGGTGTGAGTCACTCTCCAACAATAATTTTTCATTTATACATTTTTAAAATAGATACTCATGAGAGATTGTCTGTCTACCTCAGTGAATACCTGAGACTCACACCGGTCTATAAATAATGTTTATGACAACCTTTTTACGATTACTAAACCTTTTTTATGCAATAGGAAAGCTGATTTTTTGTTCTTCTTATAAATTTCCTTCATTGGTTCTCTGGCATGTTAGAACAACATGTGTGAATTTGTGTAGCATGGACAGCTAAATAAAACCCTGCAGTAGAAATACAGGGTATGATTTAGTTTTCTTCAGCTTTTGCCAGTGCTTTTGGAAATAAATGAACAAAACATGACAGAACTGACAATTTTTCTAAGTTTTTTGATTGTTTGAAGTGTTTGAAGTTTGAAGTGTTTTAAAATTCTGAGCATCCAAAAAGTAAATGCTGCAGATACCTCCATATTGTTTTCCGCTCGTGGTCATGATAAATCTGATACTGGCATGCTGAATTACAACTTAAAATGTACACCTTTGTTCTGTTCCCTACACTTCTCTTGCAGTTGTCTGAGAACAAATACCATGTCTGTGGTGCTCCTGTTGGCTCTGAAGCCACACTGACTTTCAGGTAGAATTCCTTCTTCTATAGTGGGTATTAGTCTGTTCAAGAGTATTCCTGCCAGGATTTTGCCAGCAATGGAGAGCAGAGTAATACCACAGTAATTTGAACAGTCTGATTTAACTCCTTTCTTCTTATACAAAGTGATGATGACTGCATCACAGAGGTCTGATGGTAGTTCGCCTAGTTCCCAACAGCCCACCACAAACTCGTGAAATTTAGCATGGAGTGCTTGGCCCTCATGCTTTCCGACTTCAGGTGGAATTCCATCAACCCCAGCTGCTTTGCCAATTTTCACCTGCTGTACAGCCTTAGGAGTTTCTCCCAGAGTAGGGGCATATCCAATTCATACTTTACCAGTTGTTGTGTGATGGACTGAATTGCTGAGTTTTGAACTACACAGCTAGTACTGAAAAAAGTCTGAAAGTGTTCAGACCATCGATTCAAGATGGAGGTTTTATCTGTTTCACCACTCTACTTCCTACAGAAAAGTACTTTATTTTGTATTTTACTAAAGGCACACTGATATAACATTTCTGTAGAAGAAAGAAAATGTTAATTTTGAATTTAAAAAAAAAAAGTGTATAATTTTATTAAGTGCATATCAATTTATTAAGTGTATATTATGGTAGAATCAGCTTAACTGGCATGCTCAGCATTTGTATTGTCAGTGTATCGTGTCACAAATTAATAAGGAGACCCACAGATGGTGTCTGTACATAAACTAGAAAAATGGCCTGGTTCTTGAATTTTATCAGCTGTAAAGTACTGTTCATTAGCATATACATTATACTGCACCACACTTTGGGCAGTCCAGATGAAATAAATCTGCGTTAACATATTGTTCTGGTTGTTAGTTTTACTGACTGTGAATGAATGAGGGTAATTTTCCACATCTTCCTCATCAAGAGGCAACTGTGACCTTTGTGAGCAGCAAAGATTTGAATTTCCATTAGTGCCACTGAAAATACACATAATTAGTGATTTCCCAGTGGAAAAGGTCACTGTAGTCTTTAAAAGTGGCTTATGGCTATCTTAAAAAAGTGCTTGAGAGGTTGTCCATTTACAGCAGCAGAGGAGGCTGGGCTTAGGTATCTCCTAGGGCACTCCACATCTCAGGGTTACAACAAGAGGCTCAGCAACACTCTTGATCCTTTTGATCTCTGGTGCCAACCCCAGTCCTCATCCCTGGGGTGACCTGACACCACGCAGATCCACTTATCAGAAGAGCAGCTCCTTGAGACGGAGAAGAAGGGAAATACCGGGCAAGCAAACTAAATTTGAGTGGGACAAAAAATAACCCTGCAATTTCTCAGAAGGCGTGGCAGGTTTGACAAGAGTTTCCATAGGGCTCCATCTTAGGGCTGGTTCTTTTCAACATTTTCATAAATTACTTGGACACAGGACTTGAAGGTATACTGAGTAAGTTTGTCAACTATACTAAACTGGGAGGAGCTGTTGACTCCCTCAAAGGCAGGAAGGCCCCACGGAGAGACCTTGCCAAATTAGAGGGCTGGGCAATCACCAACCATATGAAGTTCAACAAGGCAAAGCACAGGATTCTGCACCCAGCACAAGACAACCCTGGTTGTGTGTATAGACCGGGGAATGACAGGCTGGAAGGTAGAGCTTCAGAAAGGGACCCGGGGGTCCTGGTTGATGGCAAGGTGAATGAGTCAGCAGTGCAGCTGACTGGCACCCAGGAGGGCCAACCGTGTCCTGGGGGGCATCAGGCAAAGCATCACCAGCAGGTTGAGGGAGGGGATTGTCCCCACTCTGCTCTGCACTGGTGCAGCTTCACCTTGAATATTGTGGCAGTTTTGGGCACCACAATATAAGAAAGATATTAAGCTGTCAGAGAGCGTCCAAAGGAGGGCAACGAAGATGGTGAAGGGCCTTGAGGGGAAGCCATATGAGTAGCACTTGGTCTGTTCAGCCTGGAGAAGAGGAGACTGAGGGGAGACCTCACTGTAGTCTACAACTTCCTCATGAGGGGAAGAGGAGGGACAACCACTGATCTCTTCTCTGTGGTGACCAGTGACAGGACTCGAGGGAACAGCATCAAGCTGTGTCAGGAAAGGTTTAGTCTGAGTATTACAAAGAGGTTCTTCACCCAGAGGGTGGTTGGGCACTGGAACAGGCTTCCCAGGGAAGTCACAAGCACCAAGCCTGACAGAATTCAAGAAGCATTTGGACAATACTCTTGGTCACATGGTGTCACTCTTGGGGCCATCCTGTGCAGGACCAGGTGTTGGAATTTGATGACCCTGTTAGGTCCCTTCCAACTCAGGGAATATATCCCTTCCAATATTCTACGATTCTATGATTCTACAAACTTAGTGGGAAAGGATGTCTGGCTGTGACGTTGTCCAACCCCACGTTCAGAGCAGGGCCAACTTTGAAGGTAGTTCGAGCTGTCTGGGGATGTGTTCAGCTGAGTTTGCAACTCCTCCAAGGGTGGAGATGACACCATCTCTCTGATCTGCTTTTTCACTCTCTTTGTGCATATTTTCTGTATGTCCATTCAGCATTTTTCTTTCTGCAAGATGTAGCTGTTGCCTCTTGTGCTTTTGCTATGCACCCCTGAAAAAGACAGAGGTGTTCTTTTGTCTTCTCTATAACTCTTTAGATTAGATTTAACTCTTTAGAATTATATCTTCTCTCTGCCTCTTCTCCCAGCTGAACAAACCCTTTACTGTTTGTTATGTTCCTGTTTTGGTATATAATAACTTA